TGTAGCAGGGGCATAATATTTTCAGCATCCTGGAAAGCTATCAGCTACTTTTATGTTACAGTCCCATGCCACAGGCCCATTCCTCCCCATCTTCCTTCAGGCAAAAAGGACATCACAGACAAAAATTCTTGGTAGACTTGGCCGGTGAGCAAAAACCTCCCTGGGGAATGAGTGGAGTAGGGAGTCATGAGAAGACCTCACATGTGAAAATGTGACTGAACTCAATCCATGGCTGCTTTAAGAGGGTAGGGCTCCTAGGAACCAGAAGCAAAAGAAGAGTCCAAGGATGCAGAGAATTGCAAACCTGGAAGAGGCCAGAGAAAGAGAGAGGAAGAGATGCTGTCCCAGGGATGCCAATCTGTCTCATTCTGACTTAAGGGTTACCATTTGTTGCCTTCCTAAACTTCCACAGAAGTCAGTGCTTTTCTTTGCCATAGAACCGAGTTCTGGAAGCCTTGGAGAAACCTGCCCATCAAAGAGGAAAGCACCAGGAGAGGTCCACCCCACATACTATATACAGCAAATACACACATTTGTTCAGCAAGTTGTATCCACGTTGATGAGCCTACCCTATCACCAAACCACAGCGCAGTCCCCAGGCAAGCTCCAGGCTCTTTACCTTCTGTCACACACTTCTCATCAGAATTGTCTTCAAGGAAACTAATAACTTTCAACAAATGGATACGGTAGAAACTTTGTCCCTAAAAAGCACTCCAGCTCTGCTCAGGCACTACATCAGGAGGAATACCTCTATGACATGTGTTGATACAAGCAGGTAAATTATACTGTTTATAATATTTAGGTGGTGGACATTATTTACGATTACAGATATTTTTTCTGAGAAATTGCTAAGCAGATGTTCAAATGTCTAGGCAACCAGATAACTTCTATTATCTTGCAAGGCTTGCTCTGTTATCTCACTACTTGCATAGTTCTGAACAACTATCCCTGCACATGTGATGTTTAAAACCAGAATAAAAGATAGACTGCAAACATTTACATTTGACTGAATAGAGCAACTGATTAATAACTCATACAACTACTTACAAAAATTCAGACTGTAACTCCAATTTCATGGCTGCCTATGGATACTTTGCCCAACATGATTCTGCATTTCATAATTAAGTTACTGTTTTTTAAAGCTTTAGACTTGTTTCCCAAAAAACATTCAGTTCTTGCAGATAACTTTCTGATTTTAGTAACAAATTGTTTTATACCTACTCTGCACTTTATTAGTGTATTCTATGCCATTCTTTGTAGATTTTGTTACTTGCACAAAAATCATACTGCATCATTTCTACTTTTTACTAACTTCTTCAATTACCAGATAATATATTAATATTATGTTGTAGGTAAAAAGGTTGTGAAAAGTGCTATAGTCAAAACACAGCACTAGAAACAGTAAATTCTTGGTTCTGCACATGGCTTGGTAACAGACTTGCCAAATGTTTGGCTGAGTATTTTATGATTCCATTTGCAAATATGTCATCTAAATCTGTCTTTCTCCACTTCACCCTAAATTTTAGAATCACTAATAATGCAGATTACCAGCGAAAGTCAATGTAGGCCTAAAATCAATAAAGTCAATAGTTGTTGGGTATCCTTAAAACTTAAACCCATACCCCTTTGAAGTACAGATTCTGAAAAGTGAAAGGTAAAAAATCACTGCAGACTTTTTTTTTTTTTAAAAATCTGCTTTATGCTCTCTGCTGCTCTTTTCCTTTTCAGAAATTGTCATTCCTATTCTTAAATGTTTTATACTAACAGTGATGATGTGAAATGACATATACTGCCCCAGTAAATTGACTGATTATTCAAATACACAATTCCTATCATCCTGTAATTGCTATGGAACTCCTATGATTAGATGCCCAACAAAAAAACTGTACCTGCTTGGTATTTTTGGTATCTACATTTCTTGAAAATCAGATTTGTTCTGATTTCAAACTAGAGATGTTCAATTGCTGTAATTTAAGACAAAGAAATGATAGATTCAGGCCACATAGACAATGAAATTATTTCCTATGTAGTTTAGGAAAAGGACCTTTGACATTTCAGACTACTAGAAACCATTTTAACTACCAACCCTGTATACAAGTGCAGTAATATCTAAAATTCACTTGCTAAAGTACAGAGGCTATGGCACTGGAACAGATTGCCCAGAGGAGTTGTGAATGCCCCACCCCTGGAGGAGTTCAAGGCCAGGCTGGATGGGGCCTTGTGCAACCTGGTCTCGTGGAAGGTGTCCCTGCCTGTGGCAGGGTGGTGGAACTAGATGATCTTTAAGGTCCCTTACAACCTAAACCATTCTATGATTCTATGAAATGTGGCTTTCATAAGTTAATTGAATATTATACATAATGATTAATTTGGGGGAGCAAGAGATGACTGAAGAAACCAAAGGGAACAGTATGAACCTGCAGGTTTATATGGATAAAACTGAAACAGAAAACGTTGCTATTCTGCAAAAAGTCTATCACATGCTTTTTGCCAGGGTTCTTGTTATTCCTTGAGGAACTTTTCAGATAGACTTGAATTTTTAACTTCTAATCTCAGCTCTAAATCATCCTACCTGTATGCAGTGGGTCTGGCTGGGATGGAGTCAACTTTTGTCACAGCAGCTATGAAGACATGCTGTGTTTTAGATGTGTGGCTAAAGCAGTGTTGGCAACAGACCGGTGTTTTGGCTCATGCTGTGCAGTGCTCACTCTGTGTCCGGGCTGTCTCTCCTTCCCCTCAGCCCCATCCTCCACCTCGACCCTGCTCTGTACACGGGGGGAGGAAGGTCAAACAGAGACAGTGTAGGACTCTTTCTGCATCTCCACAGAAAGGCACCACAATGAACAGTTTAATAAAAGTTATTTTAATAAGTGTCCTGGTTCCGGCAGTGATGGGGTTAACCTCCCCAGGAGCCGGCAGGGGGCAGGCATCCCATCCCACGTGACCCATGCCCGGACTATAAGAGGCGCTAGCCGGGACGAGGAAAGCAGTCGCCACTTGGTGGTGGGCTGCGGTGCTGCGGGTCTCGTTGGTGCGCTTTGTGCCGGTACTGTAATCGCGTTTTCGTCTTTCCTTTTGCTGTTCTGTTAAATTGCATTATTTTAACCCACGAGTTTTGCCCTGACGATTTCTTTTTTCCACGACTGTGGGAGTTGCGTGAGCGGCTGTGTGGTTCTGTGTTGCTGGCTGAGGCCAAACCACGACAATAAGACAGAGTAAAAAGAAGTGTGTCAATACGGATTCAATCTTAATGTCCCGTCAGCCAGTGGGAACCCCAAGTTCGCACAGCATTGGACAGACCTCAGATGGATTCTCATGCAGCACACCGTGCAGATCCCATCTATGGAGACCTTCCTCCTCCCTCCCACACTGTGGTGCCTTTTATTTTGTGTAACAAAGTCACATATCTTTTCCCGTAAGAGAGAAGATTTTTTAAGAGTCTCTTTTAAACAATAGTGAAAAAAAAATTGGAAGAAATAAGAATGGCAAAAGGTTTGCAAGGTAAGAGCCGTACGAAGAAAGTTCTGATAACTGGGTATGCATTGTCTAGAAAAAGAGACTGAATAGAAACTCGTGTCTGTATCTAAATGCCAGTGACATTGGTCTGCCTCTATAAAGCAGCTGAATAATTATAAAAAAGAAAAGTGGCAAAAGGGAAAATATGCAAAATACTGGAGAGAACCACATGATCGGTGAAGCGATGGGACAAGCTACTGCGACAAGTTGTTAAATCACCTTCACAGACATATTCATGGAAACCATATGTCAACTTCCAGGATACGACTAACAATAATGAAATCAACCTTGACATGAGATAGGAATACAGACCAGAGGAACTGCTAGAGGACTATTTCTTCTCACATATTTCTTTGAAAACTCCCCAAGATTGATTTCATTTGGTTTAAGGTAAAGGATTCCTAGCTTTCTTTTTTTTCCTTGCAGTATTATGATTTGATGTTGATAAACTACATGGTTTCATAGCGACATGGATGGAAACTGAATGGTTAATTTGATGCCCGCGTGCTGCATGGCATTTTTAAGAAACTTGAAAAAATGTGAAGCTACATTTTATAGCCAAGCAGCATTTGTAATGTGATGTAAATAGCACCATCGTAAGCTCAAACCTCTGCTCAAACCATCCATGGGACCATGGTGCTCCCAGAAGATTAAGGGCACTCTGTGTACTCTGAGGAGCAGATGTTTTGCCTTCTTTGGCACTATAACGCTACAGCTTCTGGCTCTCCATGCCACGCAGAGCTTTCATGCCGGGCTACAGGTCCTCTTGCTGTACTATTTTCACAAGGAAAAAAAACCATTCCTTGTTTACAGGGTTTCCTACACTGTAACGTATTCCACCATATGCTCCCTCAGGGCCTGATCCCAGCTCCCTTACTCGTACGAGCTAGTTTTTTTATTCCACGAAAAGATTCAGCGGCAGATTAACGGTGGTGTTTTTGCAGCGAAGAGCAGCAGCTCAGCTCCACGCAGAAGTACCTCACTTCGCCCTATTCCAGCCGTTCCCGGCCCACAATG